GTCACTAAGAAAAACAGTATGGAGGTTCCTCAAAAAACTAAGAATTGATCTACCATATGATCCAGCAATCCCTCTACTGGGTATTTACTCCAAAGACTTGAAAACATATATCAGAAAGGATATCTGAAGATCAATGTTCATAGCAACATTATTCACAGGGGCCAGAACATGGAAGCAACCGAAGTGTCCTACAACAGATGAATGAATAAAGAAGCTGTGGTACATATATACAATGGAATATTACTCAGCTATAAGAAGAGATGAAATACTGCTATTTGTGACAATCTGGATATATACTGAGATAATCATGCTAAGCAAAATAAGCCAGACATAAAAAGTTGAAAACCACATGATATCACTTCTATGTGGAATATAAATCTAAAAGCAACACACAAACATGACAAACAAGCAAGGAGTCATGGACATGGACAACAGACTAATAGTTAACAGAGGGGAGGGGAGGAGGCAGGTAGATGTGGTAAAAGGGGTCAAATATGAGGTGGCAGAAAGAAATCTAACTATGAGCGGTGAACACACATTGCAATGTGCATATGTGCCTTACTGTGGAATTGTACACCTGAAACTTACTGGATTTTGTTAACCAATGTCACTAAAAATAATAATAATAATAAATTAAAAATAAATTTTAAAAAGAATAAAAAGAGTCTCGGCTCCAGAGTAGAACTGTGCGTGACCTCGGCTCTATTATGGACCAGCTGGGGGCATCTCGGGCATATTATGTAACCCTTCTGTGCCTTGTTTCTATCTCTGTTTAATGAGCACAATAATACCAGATTTGTTGGGAGGATTAGATGATACAGTCCCTGTGAAGCACTTAGCACAGTACCCAGCACACAGATAGAATTCAATAAAAGTCAGCTATTATCATTTTATATTTGTTAATTTCTTGCACGCTCTCCACTTTCACTCTTTTTCTCTTCTCTCGGTACTTTGCTTTTCAATATCATTTCACTTCAACAAACATTTCTCGAGCCCTATCACTGTGCCAGGATAAACAGTTGCTACCTTGTGAAGCTTGCTGGCTTTTGGAAAGGCAGATACATAAACCATGAGCTGCAAGGAAGCGTGGCATATGAATAACAGAAGTTCTCACCAGTTTCCATGGAAGCCTAGGAGGGAGAGGGCTGGCCAGTAATGATTTACAGAGGGGGTGACCCTTGAGCTGGCTCTTAAAAGGAGCCTGGGAGGGGCAGGAGACTTCTGGGAAGAGAGGTCAATGTGTGTAAAGGCACGGAGGTCTCCAACGCACAGCTGGCTTGGGGAGCAGCCAGTGGTTCAGTAAACTAGATGGATGGTCTTCACACTTGAGCATGCATCCTAATCCCTTTAATGCCTAAGTACAATGCAGGTTGCTGGGGTCCTCTTATTAAATCTGGGGTATGGCCTGAGAGTCCGTTTTTTTAACAAGTTCCAGTTGCTACTCTTGTGGCTGGTCGGGCACCACTCTCTGAGAGCACTGGGGAACCAGAGCACAGAGGGTGGGAGTAGGGAGCAGGGAATGGCGGGAGGTAGAGTTGGGCTTCACAAGCTAGCACAGGAGTTTAGATTTTATAAACAATGATGGCAACAAAAACCACAGAAGTGTTTTCAGGTAAAGAGTATACAATCAGATCTCGGTGGCACAAGTGGCTTTTTAAGGGCTCACGACTCAGAAGAGACGGCATGAGGAATTGAATCGGGGGATCGGCGGGTGGTCCATCACTAGCTGGGCGGAATCCTGACCTGTGCCAAGTCCCCAGCCTCTCAGTTCAAGCCTCTTTCTCTCCTGGCTGCTTCTTTCTCCTGATCACAGAAAAAGAGGTGCATCTTTCATTTTCAGCGTTAAAACTTTTGCTCCTGCCCTTCATTCCATCAGGCCACCATCTCTGCATTTACCTCTTCCAAGCATCATCAGCCTTTCTCTGCGCCCCACCCCCGCTCCTCCTGTTGGGCATAATGTAAGCCAAACCTTCAAACACATATGAGCTCCCAGAATCACAGCACCCAACTACTCCTTTTAGCTGCTATTATTAATAACTTTTTTAAAACCAAAAACTTCTCAATGAATGGTTGTTGCCTGCCCATTTCCTTACACCCAGTGTCAACCCCTCAGTCTTATTCTGCTCCTGCCTAAACAATGAGGTAGCAACTTGTCTTAGTTACTTTAACTGCATCATCCCTATGGCCACCAAAATATCTTAAGAGAATCCTACGTGAAGAGCTTTGGTAAAAATAGTGTAGAAAATGTCACAACGGAATTGAATTTTTAAGCCTCCAAGACTTTATTAACCTATTCTAAAACTTCTTACAGGAAATTCATATATAACAGAATACGTTATAGTTCCTAAGATAGCCAACAAAATCCAAAATGTCTAAACTGATGAAATTAAAATAAAACTGAGACTTATATAAAGTATAATTCCATCGAGGTGTATGTTTTATACTCTCTTCATCTATCTACTCCTTTGAAACCGAATTTATCCACCTTTGTATTAATTACTGTAATAAAATGTTCATGAATTGCCCATCATCTGTTTCTAAACTTTTTAATTTTTTAAAAGCTTGAGATAAAAATGGGGCTTATTTGACACTTGGCACATTAGCAAAACCTACTCTTAAAGGCTGTTTATTCAAATGTTGTAACCAAACATAGAATACCCATCAAATCCAGCTCAAGCTCTTGAATGTATAACAGGGATTGGTTTATTTCCTGAATAGGCAGTTTTCTGAGTGTTACTTATAGCTAGAGCCCTCACACTTTTGTTTTGAACTTTTCCCTTTCTTCTGGACCATTTATATTTCTGCTGTAAATCTTTGATACTATGTAGTCTTTTCACAGATGCTTTCCAACAGTGAGGGAGCTGGAATATCTCCAAAATAAATTTTTGACTCAGGCAAGTGCCTTTTTTTAATGTCCGTGAGTCAGAAGCGCTAAGAAGTTACAGAAACCAGACAGAAAAGCCCTTTTGTTATCAGTAAGTTTACTCCTTTTAAATGTTTTTCTTCTACTTTCTTTCTGCTGTAACTTTGCAAAAATCAACGGTTTTCTCAACTGTTCATATTTTTTCCTGGAAGTAAAAGGAATGATTTTACTTTTTAATTAGTGAGAACGCCAACAATTTTTTTTTTCATTATTATCAGAATCTTCTAGGTATAAGCGCTTCTCTCTTTTTAAAGCGAGAAACATCCTCTTTTATCCATTTACTTTATTTGATTAGGAGGCACAGAACAGAAAGTCTGTAATCTTACCTCCCATGCTTCCTTTTTCCTGGATCCCCCAGAGAGCTCACACTGGGGAGATTCACCCCCAAATGTGCAGGCAGAGCTGAGGTTATGCAGCATTCCTGAAGGGAGCCCTGAGAAGTCCAGTGAGATGGAGCTGGGAGAGAAGCCGGGAAAAAAGAGAGGCCAGCTTTCTCTGTCCCGCTCCAACTCTAGTGACCACTCCCAAATTGAAAAAGAAAATCGGCCACATTATTTTACACTTGTAGCACTCCTGTGAAATCCAAGTGTTTATCTTATTGGTTTAGTTGCTCTAGCAAGTGCAAAATACTTTATAGATCGTTTAAAAACGGCCCAAATATTTTCTCCTCATTCTTTCCTGCCAACTCGATTTGAAATTGACATTCTCAGTTTTTCTTTTCTCATCTGGGAGGAACCCAGACGATTTCTGTTTGCAGACAATAAAACTCTGCCCCATCCTCACACTAGATCTGCCTCTTCTAGTCTGGGTCAGGGAGCTGACTCAAAATGACAGTGGTGACATTGGGTCACTGGGGATTCTCCCAAAGGGCAATCAGACTGGATCTGATGGTTTTCCTGAAGGTTTGTAGTTTCCCAGAAATGTGAAGAGGTAGGGAATTGGGGAGCAATTATTGTGAGTGAATGTCTAGCACGCCCTAGAATGTCTCCAGGTGTGACATCATGGAAATATTCTCTGGCTCTTTGAATGTTATCCCAAAGTTTAGCCCATTGCAGGAGCTGGCACCAGACAGATATTTTACGAATGAATAAACTGTGAGAATGAACTAAACACATACTCCATAAATACTAGGGATAGTCTTAGTTATTTTCTTTCAAATGTTTTGATTTGAAAATGTCTTAGCCATTTCCCACAATCTTGTTTCCAGATTCCATCTCCCCAAATTGACGACATAATGGTTATTGGCCTAATGACCCCTTCATACCATCAGCAAACCTGACGGCAATGATGGCATTCCATCTCTTGGTCCCTGTTAAATTTGAGCATACCAGTGGGAAGGTTTGAAACAATTATGCCCCTGAAAATATGTCAAACGTGATCATGTTCTGAGAACTCTACATGCTGCATGTGTCCATGAATAAAACCATCAGGCTATGAGCTTCAGAGGTGGTATGAGCGAACGCCCTGTGTTTGCTGACATTCTTCTTGACTGCAAGGTAGAGATAATCAGATGACAATAAGATTGATCTCTTTCCTTGTCTGTAGTCAGCATTTTTGGAGTTTGCCCACCAGATGTGTCATTCAGGAAGACCAAAAGTACAACTGGATGATTATAAGCAAGATCAAGGACGTCATCCCTGGCCAAGAGAAGGTTATGAAGACCAGTAGAACCGTGCATGATGGCCTCCCAGTCTACATGCAGGTGGGTCCTTGGACTAGAGTGCCCCAGCACCTACCCTGAATAGCGTCCTGGGGGACATGGCACCCAGTGCACTCTCTCCTGAATCAATGCTGGACCGATTTGACCAGAGGTTTTCAACCTGTGTCCTACACAATCTGATATGATCTGCTCGGAAGCCCTGGTGGCCAGTGGGTCTTCCTGCGGGGCCAATGCGGGAAGATGGTCTGCAAGCCTCCCCCCTTTTTTTTTTTTTTTTTGCTGCAGGTGACAAAGTCCCTTTCCTCCTCACTAGGAACAGATATAGCAATAGGGTCGGCCAGGTCCCAGGTGATGCACACACTTTAAGCAGAACAAAGAAGTACACATGAAACCCAGAACAGGAAAGGTTATCGCAAACAAAGCAATAAGCCAAGCACAGCCTCCGAGGGCTCCTTATCTCTATGTGAGAGAATGTTTCAGGCCCACAGCACACTCTCCAGTAAATACAATAAGGAATGTAAAGGAAAAAAGAAACTACCTAACAGGAGTGTAGCCAAGAGGGCGAAAGCTGCCCCCGTGCAGTGCTATTATGCACAGAACCAAATGAGAAAAAGGGAATTCTCTGGCATCTTCGCCAAAACAAAGGACTACAGTTAGCAGTAATCATGCCACCAGATTCAAGCATCAGGCTTCAGAAATCTATTTGGAACATACTAGATAGTTGCTATGATCTAAATCCATGATTACTCACCGGACATGTTTTAATGAGATAATATATATTCAAGTGTTTTGTAAACATAACGATTAAAAATAATTATTTATGTTATTGCTGTTAATAATATAATAATGGTCACAAATAATATTATTAGTAACTAAAAGTGTAAAATTTTTTTTACATATCCAAGAGGCTTTTTGGTCAATTGGCTGTTATTAATTCTATAAGTAATTTAAATAGGCCTTATTTCCTGTCTTTTTAATTCTGTGGATAATTGCCATATGATAAGGTACTTAGGTTGCAAGGATGACTAACTGAACTTTATCAATAAATCTAGGCTAAATAAGGCTAATCATTCTGTATTGCTTTATTTTTCCCCATTCCTGTGCTTTCCAAAATGAGTCAGCCTGTCTTCAGAATTCTTCAAATCATCATTTTAATTTTGTTCCATTACATCCTACTTTACTTTTTTGTTAGTCGGCATTTAATGAGGCTTTGGTTTGGATTATAAAGTGGATATTATTTTTAAATCTTACTTGATCTGTGATAACTTGGGCTCTGTCTCTCCACTTAAAATGACAGCAATATAGAGTTCTATTTCATCAAAAAGTATTATTAGTTTATTTCCTTTAGGTCAAGCACACCAGAGACCTATCAATTAAAATTCAAGTCATCCCCAAAATAAAAGGTAGGTTTTATTCTTCAAGTGAATTCTAATTTTGCAAGGAACACATCCTCGTAGATGAAGAAAGCAAGCCCAGCTAAGATCACCCAGGCAAGAGAGAAGGGGTTTGAGAATGTACTATTAGATTCATTATTATCTAGTCTCCTTCTCGTCAGAACAACCCATGGTACTTTTTGCTTACACTGGAAAGAAATATGAGAGAGAAAAAAACTACAAGCCAGAATGAGATAACTTACTATTTTATTCACAATTTTCAAGTATAAAAAATAAAAACTTTAAAATTGATTTTGAAACAAAACAGTATGACAGTGGCAAACAGTTTTATTACCTAGTAAAGGAAAACCACACATTATAAATAAACTATTTTATAGAGTTTTGACATTATATCAGGTAAAAGTCCAATTATTTTTTAAGTGTGTCTTCTATGAAAATAAAAGATAACACTCCGAAAGCTTTAAAAAAAGCTCCCCCCTGACATGTGCACATACCGCATCAGAGAAACACTTGCAGACAGTTAGAGGCATTTCTGTAAACTTTATGAAAAGGTTTTGTGTCCTTTTGTGTTTCAAAATTTATTCTGATTGTTTTAGAATTCAATGGAAGATGTGGAGAGCAAGCAGAGTGGCAAAAGCAGTAGCATCAGTAGCAGCGAAAGCAGCAGCAGCCATAGTGACACCTTGAGCTTTGACGCAGGCAGCAACAGAGGCCATGACAACAGTAGCACCCACAGCCATGGACACACGCCCAGACCAGTAGCAGCCAAACCGCCCCAACAACAGCAGGTAAAGCACGTTCTTCCAGGGGCAGCAAAGTAGGAAGAGCTCAGGATGTACCTTTGTCCAACATATGTATGCAGGTGGTGTTAGAGCAAAAACCAAATAATAAAACCAAGAGTTATAAGATGGTTGGTTAAGGTAGAGAGGCCTAGTCACTCTGTAATATTTTAAAAAAATTTTTAAGCAGTGAAAGGGAGTATTAGAATCCAACTTTTCTACTTGAACTTTTTCTTCATATAGAGCCCAATGTGCCAGGTGAGCATGAGAAAAATGATCTCATTCAAACAGCTTATGCTTATGGGACTGAACATTTTTATTATGGAAACACATGCAAGCTAATTCTTTCTTTACTATTTCCATTAAGATTGTGATTACATATTATCATTATTGTGGCGGTCTGCTTATTAAAAATATATATTTCTCTTCTTTGTTCTGTTTTAAAAACAGAGATCCAACATTCTTTTGAGATGACGGAAAAAAAATCTATGGAATATGTGAAAAGTCTGCTGCTGAAAATAAATCGGAATTCCAATGCCCGATAGTTACTGACCTAAGGTGAAGTGACCATTACTCAGTCTTGATATTACCAGACGGCACCTGTCATTCAGGTACGAAGGGAAATGCAGTACTTTTGTTGAGATACCGATACCCCAAATACCTACTTTTATACTAAGAGAATAGTAACTTATCCTGAGACACATCAGTTTATCTAATATAAAAGCACCCTTCACTAGCTCATGACTGTGAATTGATACAACACAACTCACATGCTGACAGGACGTGTCTAGCACAACTCAGTGAAGGAGGTGCTCGACAGGTTAAAGGAAAAAAAAAAACCACACAAGTACATCCCCATGGTAGAGATGTGTGCAGTGGGCCCCCTAAATCTTGCTATCTATCTTGAAAAATCCCATTAGAGATCTAGGTTCAATGTCAACAAGAAAGACCTGCCTCTGGAAATGGCTGATACATAATATAGCATGCCAATTTCTTTCTATCTTTTTACCTTTCATGAACCAGTGAAGTCAAACAATATCACTGGGGCTAGAATTCAGGTCTTTTAATTCTGTCCAATTCCAAAAGTTCAGGAAAGGCAGCACAGATACCAGTGGAATCGTAGTGATGATCAGGATCAATTTGCTAAGAACCAGGAGTGTTATAAGTAGGACAGGTTAGCTCCCTATGAAATTAAGCCTGATTAGTGCATCCAGCTCTTGATTTATGGGGATGTATCATTCTGGCCATGGAATTCTGTGGAGCATGTTAAGCATGACAGTTCCTTTATGTCACCAGAATACTGTTGTGTGCGTTATTGAAATGCAGTTCTTCTTAGTAAAACTGCCATCACTATGACCATCGCTACCATAGTCACCATCATCATTAACTTCACCGTTGCCATAGTCTATATGAACATTAAAGCAATTTCTAATATGTTTAAATCAACCAGAATACTGGAGAGTCCTATTCTGTATCTTGAGCCTCATGGAAGAAATGGACATTGCAGAACGGCTGGTACATCGATACTGTTATGGGTTGTGGAGAAATTTGATAGCCAGGCAGAGGAATTTGGATGCAGGAGTTCCTGCTGTTCTGGAGCAGGAATATGACAGGTGGGTGCAAGGTACTAGAAATTCAGTCTGGGTGAATTTAAGGAGAAAGAGACAGGAATGGAGGCTGCAGCTGAAAAGTCCAGAGGCAGCAGGACGTGACTGCAAGAGCTGGCTGCAGACAGGTGGTCAGATAGCCAGGGGTTGAATCCTGGCTTCACTACTCATAGGAACTTGCTTCTTGGGAAAGTCAACTTGTGTGCCTTAGCTTTGTTAAAATGGGGCTGAGAATCTTCCTTGGCTCACGTGGCCATTACTGTGATCTAAGAGCAAGGATTTGGATTGGCACAGTAGTAGTTAAGGAGAGGAAATGTTAAAAATCAAACAAACAAAAAACTCCTCTCAAAGTTTTGAGCCTGGGAGAATGAAAGAATCACTACTAAGAATATAAAGGGGACTTTAAGATGAGGAAAATAACCTGCTTCCTATCAAAAACAATATTTCAACCTAAGCTTCTCAAATCCATGAAAGTAGAAGTACATTTCTATTTTGTTTCTAGTTAGTTAAAATATGGTCTTCTTCTGTAAGACCTAGGATGAGATCTTTGTTTTGATAATATTTTGGTTCTGGGAAAGGATTTTACAGCATTTTAAATGTTATTTGTGTATAGTAGGTTTAAAATAAATTTAAACTCATATCATGTAAGTAGTACTGTAATTGCCGTTATTTCATGAGGTCGATAGTATTATCTTTTATATTCATGAAAAGAATGATTATGTCTATTGATGTTTAAACAGGAGAATCCCTAAAGATACAAATAGCTTTCAAATGTTCTTTTCATCTAGAACCCACTGGTGTTGATGAGCAGAGGAACATAGACCACAAGTATGAGAATTTGGTCAAAACTGTTGAAGCTCTCACGTCATGCGCCTGTAGTAAAATGCAGTGCTCTTTATGAAGCTGTAATCCACAAGTTTAGACCATTGGACCACTGTCTTTAGATTTTTTGTTGCGAGATCACAAATCATATTTAACTCGATAGTTGCTAATATAAAAATCATATCATCTCATATTATTCATGGTTTCCTAAGAACTTGTTTTGAGACTTGGAAAAGAATGCCTTTAAGTGTGTCAAATCCAATAAACTTTGTGTTTTAAAAAGAAAACGCGAGTGTATAGAAACCCAACTTATTTTTGCACGTTGATTTTTGTATCCTGCAACTTTATTGAATTTTTTTATTGGTTCTAACAGTTTTTTGGTGGGTTCTTCAGGGTTTTCTGTATGTGTGTGTGTGTAATATATATATATATATATATATATATATATAGTATATATAATATACATACTATATATATATAATATATATATAGTATATATATTTTTATATATATCATGTCATTTGCTAACCGAGACAATTTTGCTTCTTCCTTTCTGATTTTTGTTTCTTTCTCTTGCTTAATTGCAATTTCAATTTACTTAGCTCTTTAACATTTTTCATGATGTTTTATACTTTCCTAGGTAGAAGTCTTCTGTCTTGCAGCTTTCCTCTATTCCTTATTATTTTCAAACATCTTGCCCCATCCTTCTTTCATCCCTAATTCCTGAGGTACTTCTTGCAGTTATGAAAAATTTTGAGGATTCTATAAATTAATTTTTTTTCTCTGCTTTCCTTTGTTGACCTAGTGTAAATGAACCAGGAGGTTTCACTAGAATTAAATGACAAAGTTTTATTCAATTATCTTCAGATTTGCAAATTTGGAAAAACTACCAGGTAACATCCAGAATGTCCCCAAGAAAAGAGTAAAGTTGAAAATTCTTATCGTTATAAAGTACATTCTTGAGTAGAACACTCCTGCATTCTGAGCCTCTGGTTTGTTCCGAGATGGGAATCTTTCAGATGTTGAGTGGCCTGGATAATGGATGTCAGGTGGTCTAAATATGTAAACATTCTTTCCTAAGCTTTTCTCATGAACATTCTTTCCTAAATTCTTCAGAAATTCATCTACAAGATTTATATATAACTCCAAGCATTAACTCATGACTGAAGAATTTAAATGTTTAAGTCCTAGTTAAAGTAAAATAACATCTATTCCTCATGTTTCAGCCCATTCTGATTTAAGCAATTTTGTTACCTTGGCTATAGTGACTCTTTTTTGTTTCTTCATTATTTACTCCTTTCCCTTTCAATCAAGACTTTTCCTTAGAAAACATCATAGATCAAACAAGCAAGCATGTCAAGGTGGCAATGCCTTCCCTGGGTCCGTCATGTCTCTCAAAGCGGAGAAATAGATTAGAGACATGTTTGTCATAAATGAATCTTTTAGCCAGCTTGATGTTGTTGCCAACTTGAAAATTTGGGCTGAAACATTAGGAAAAGTTTCATTAAGACATTATTATTATACATCAGTTATGGAAACCAGTCTCAATTCTTGAGAATAGGTCGATTCAGTTAAACAGCTGTGTCTCATTTCAGAAGGCAACAATGCAGGTGGGTGTCCAAAGCTGGGGCCTACGTGCAAGCAATCAGGTATTTAGTAAGTGGTGCCTCTATGAAAACAAAACAAAAAAAACATGGTTAATAAGTGAATCTGACTATAATCCCAGTTTCTGAGTTCTGATGGCAGCTAATCAAAAAGATTTCTAGGTGTCAGCTTTGAAACTGTTTCAAATGGAATGAAGGCAGGCAGTGACAATCTGACAGATTCTCCTGGTTTGCAGTTGAAATGTCTCTGGTGATTTTTCTGCAACAGGCACAAAGATTGCCCATGTTTAACTGCTGTGGTGATTTCTCTGCAGTTTATATCAAACTGTCCCATGTTAGCTTGGATGGCTATGAAAAAAAGGGCAGTTTTTGTTATCAATGATTTTGTTCTCAAGTCAAAGGATAGGGAGAAAAATCAGATATTGGAAGAACGTAGAAAAAGTCAGGATCCAGTCCAGTTTACAGGTAAAAACAAAGCCTCAATAAACAAGGAACAGCACTAGAATCTAACATCCACAAAGGAGTATTACTAAAACATAATTTTTCTCTCTAAAATCATCCTAATTTTTACCAAAGACAGCCAAATTAAGAAAAATTTGTTTGCAAAATAAGTCTAGTTTCAATCAACTTGGTCTGTTAATTACATAAGAGCAGCAAGAATAGTAATTATCCATATAAATCTGCTTTGCTAAGATTTTGAAGATTCAGATTGTACTTCAAAAGGTCTCTCGAGGCCAGAAAAGCTAAGGCAACAACTTGTCATTAGACTCTGCCTACAACACCTATAGATTTGGGCAGGTTCCTCTCTTCTGAATTCTCCAAAATATCTTGAGGTTACCATACCTGCCAGGAAGTGATCTTGTTCGCTCACCTGGTAAAGCTGCTGAGAATCCTGTGAGCAAGGTACCAGGTTGATATTTCCAAGGGTTTTATTGGCTTCTGTAAATCAATCTTAGTTTCGTAAAGTTCTTAAAGTTGTCTGGTTACATCTGAGTCTATGCACATCTCTCTCAAATATGACATTCCAGTGAAAGCCTTGGTTATATAACCAATTCTTCCAATTGTGTCCTATTACAAGGAGAACAGGTTCCTTTTGAATTTATGCAAATAACAATATTGCCATGAAAATAAGAATACTCACTGAAAATTTCTGATTTCTAGAGGGATCAAGTAGGGAGGAAAGATTAATGTTTTAATTCTGCTTACAAAGATGTAATTTATCAAATTGCTGCAGGTCATAGGTAGCTTAGGAGAAAAAATATCCTTATACCTAGGAAAATAAAAATAAAAAAATAACCAGCATTGTTTCAAAGAAAGTTAAAAATTATAATTATCTTCAATTCATTCAGTCCCATGTTATTAACTGTTGGTCTTGATCTTTTTGTTAGCAGTTTTATGAATCCAGTTTTTCCTTAGAGTTCTACAAATTCTCACCCAGTTCAATGTTATGACCTAGAAGTTTATCAGAAATCTATATTTTAAAGTGTCAGAGTCCTCTCCATGAACCTCTCTGAGGATGAAACAGAGTTGTAAAAAGTATCAGAGTAAGACCATGACACTAAATGAAGAGCCTTACCGAGCCATACATAGTTAAAGATCTGATTACAATGTATTTGACAAAGAAATTTGCTTTTCTCTGCAACATACAGCATTTTATGATAATACTGTATCAGGACATTTTTAGATTTTTAGAAGTTTTATATAATTTCTAGAATATGTATTGTAATAACAATACCACATATACACAAATACAGCATAATTATTCTTTTGTATTTGACAATGCTTCTCATGTAACTTTAGCATAGCAAATATGCCTAATTTGTTTATATTTGAGAGAGAAAGAGAACCTTTCAAATGTTTCATGTATCCTTCTTAAAAATCTGAAAGTTATTTTCAGATTCAGAACAAGACTCACTTAATTTTTGAAATTTGGAAAGTTTATCGAAAAATATCAAACATTTAAAGCGCTTGGTCAAATAGCATCATAGGTCACTGTAACATAATATTTAGTTATCCATTTAATCATGGTGACAATGAAAGACTTTGCAGACAAATACAGAAAGTTAAATAATTGTAAGCAAAATTTAGCTCTTTTAGTATTAAGAAGATGTGATTAATAAAGGAACCAACACCCTGATACAGAGCATGGGAAATCATTTTAATAAAACACAAAATCTTTGCTTTCCTTTTATAATCCCTTATTAATAGCATACCAATTGTACTGAAAAATTTTGTTCTTTTAACAGAGAAAGAATCAAACTAATCTTGCATCAACTTACTTTTGATATTGAAATTCCTTAAATTCATTTTAATCTTATTTAGCTTGACCACGCATAACATTTTCTTTCTTAAGGCTCCTTTTCACCAACCTTTTACAACATTATTAGCCCATTTTAAGATGTCTCTTGTTCTCTTACCCATTTAGAAATAGCCAGCTTACTTTAGGATAAACCACTTTCTTTTAATGTCCTCAAAACATGTAATTTCATACCTTATACTTTCTTTTACTGAAAACGTATTATTTCCTTGTATTCAAAGTTGTTTGTTTCCCTTATTATTCCAATTAGTTTTAATTACATATGTTCATCAATAAATCTAAATTTATCTTTTAGTTTACCTATAATTAAAAAATCAAAATAAGTGAACTTAGACTTATTTAGCAATTAATGTTTTAGTATTTTACTTATTTGTAAATGATCTAGATATTCAATGATCATATCCTTTAATTTAGCTAGCAAAATTTTAAAGTTTCAAGCAACCAAAGAGTTTGGGAAGCCATATATTTTTGTAAGCATAAGTATAATTATTGCTAAAGAGTTTACCTTAAAAAATCTTTTTATCTTACTTGCATTTATTTATTAGTTGTTAATAATCATGTTTAAATTACTCATGAAAATTGTGTCATACTGAGTTATTTTTCTGGCTGACAAATTTTGCAACAGAGATATCATAAACTTAATTGACTAATAAAAATAAACCTAGGTAGAATAAAAGCATTATACTTAAATCTGATAACTCTAAAGAGTGCCTATTTAACCAAACCAAACTCAAACTAGCTTTAATATCAAATACTTTCCCAGGTCATATGATCATGAAAAAGCATTTGGGTTAGTTTCTATTATATTTTTGAGACTTTTTATATAAGCACTTAATCCCTGTAAAGCCAATTTAACAGAGCTCTTTATAAACCAATTCTAGTAATATCCTCCAGAGGTAAACATACATACACATATATAGACAGACAACCAGAGACTTGATATTTTCATTTAAAAATTTCATCCATGAGACAGATAAAATAAAAACCCACTAAAGTATAATAGTTGAATAAGTTCAGTTTATTTGTTCAGATTGCTAAGGCTTTTACTAATTTAGAGAAGACTTTTAAAATTAGTGTTTGTCTTTGACAAACAGTTTTTAAGGAAGGGGATACTACTGCAAGTAGTCTACAGATTCAGTGCAATATCTGTCAAAATACCAATGGCATTTTTCATAGAACTGGAACAAATCTTCCTAAAATGTATATGGAATCATGAAGGACATCAAATAAACAAAACAACTTTGAGAAAGAAAAACAAAGTTGGTAGTATAATGCTACCTGATATCACACTATACTACAAGGCTACCATAATCAAAACAGCATGGTACTGGCATAAAAACAGACACAGAGATCAATGGAATAGAATAGAGAGCCCAGAAATAAACCCATGCCTATGTGGTCAATTAATCTATGATAAAGTAGGCAAGACTATACAATGGGTTAAGGCAATCTCATCAATAAATGATGGTGTGAAAATTGGATGCATACACGCAAAAGAATGAAACTGGATCAATTTCTTACACCATATACAAGAATAAACCCAAAAAGAATAAACTTACGTGTGAGACCTGAACCATAAAACTCCTAGAAGAAAACATAGGCAGTAACTCTCTGACATTGCTGTTAGTAGCATTTCTTTAGATATGTCTCCCCAGGCAAGGAAAACAAAAAATATACAAATTGGATTACACCAAACTAAAAAGTTTTGCACAGTGAAGGAAATCATCAACGAAATGAAAAGACATCTTATTGATTGAGAGAAGATATTCGCCAATATGCATCTGGTAAGGAGTTAATACCCAAAATATATAAGGAACTCATACAATTTAACACCAAAAAAACAATCTCATTAAAAAATACGCAGAGGACCTGAATAGACATTTCTCCAAAGAAGACATAGAGATGGCCAACAGACATATGAAAAGATACTCAATATCACTAGTCATCAAGGAAATTCAAATTAAAATCACAATGATATATCACCCCACACCTGTCAGAATGGCTATCAACAATAAATCAAAATACAACAAGTGTTGGTGAGGGTGTGGAGAAAAGGGAACCCTTGTAAACTATTGGTGGGATTGTAAATTGGTATAACCACTATAGAATACAGTATGGAGGTTCCTCAAGAAATTAAAAATAGAACTACCATGTGACAATTCTACTTCTGAGTATTTATCAAAAGAAATCCAAAATACTAATTTGAGGCATATATGCATCCCTATGTTCATTGCAGTATTATTTACAACAGCCAAAATATAGAAGCAACATTGATAGATGAATGGATAAAAAAGAGGTAGTACATATGTACAATGAAATATTACTCAGCCATAAAAAAGAATGAAATCTTGCTGTCTGCGACAACCTGGTTGAACCTAGAGGGTATTTTGCTAAGTGAAATAAATTAGACGGAGAAAGACAAATACCATACTATTGCACTTATATGTGAAACAAACTCATAAATACAGAGAACCAATTGATAGTTGCCAAATGGGGAAGAAGGGGAAGGGATTAAGTACAAATTGCCAGTTATAAAAAATAGTCATGGGAATGTAAAATACAGCATAAGGAATATAGTGAATAACATAGTAATAACTATGTATGGTGTCAGATGGGTACTAGATTTATGGAGTGATCACTTTATAAGTTATATAAATGTCTAGTCACTACGTTGTACACCTGACACTAATATGGTATGTCAACTATAATCGAAAAAAAAATATTTTTAATTTTAAGGAGGAGGAAGCTGCTTATGCAAAGGAACTTTTTCCGCTCACTGTTGTTTTAAAATTTCTCACCTAGACATTTTTTTTCAGTCTTAGAAACTGAGGAAGATAAAGATAGCTGAACTTTAAACTGCTTCTAGAGCTGCTTTCTAGATTTACAGAGATTTGTAAAATAAGGACATTTGCTCTCAATTCTTCAAAGAATTGGGTTGTAACTCAAGTGACATCAAGGTTGATCTACCTCAACTACACCATCCCTAGTTTGCTTCTCACCCTCTGCGTTCCTAGTTTTATTTGGCTTCGGAGAGAAGGCATTTTTTTTTTTTTTAAATTCCTATTAGGCTCTGAATCTTCAATCCCAATTTTGCTAAATTTACAATCGTAAATTTATTACATTTAAAAAATCTCATCATCTTTCAAGCTAGAGACAAAACAATTTTTTTGAAGCATCTGCTCAGGAATTTTTTTAGAGCCGTTTTTTGAAGTCATCTTCTTTTAGACGCTTCTGCATATCTATCTAAGCATGCATTCCATTGTCCCTGAGAGATTGGGAATTCTTTCATTTAAGTTGGGGGGTGGGTTGGGGAGGATTTAAAGTAAAGGTTTTCCTGAACGACCATTAGAGTATTAAATTATTTTATATTTATAAGACATCTGAACATCAATGAAAGAGGGAAGCTCGAAACCCACAGAACTCATTACTAGAATCCCAGAGTTGTTGCGTAGATGACAGAGACAAAGGACTCAAGCAGGCACTTGAGGCCCTGGAATTGAAGCACTGGGTTTTTTGATTCTGTGACTTCTGACACCATAAATATTGACCAAGTGTAAATAAGTCAGGAGGCTTTGCTAGAATTAAGTGATAAAGTTTTATTCATGAGTCATAAGATTTCCAAATTTGGAAACACTATAAGGTAATACTAAGAGTGTTCTGAAGAACAAAGAAAAGGTGAAAATTCTTATGTAAAAAGTACATTCTTGAGAACTAGTCCTGCGTTCTTAGCCTCTGCTTTAATCTGAGATGG